TTTTTTTTTTTGTACCGGGGATCGAACTCAGGCAGGAGCTTCTGCTTGCAAGGCAGGTGGTGGCACCACTGAGCTAAATCCCCGGCCCAATAATTCCGTTTGGAAGCAAGGGGAGGGGAATGAATGGTGGCAGTAAGAATAATAATTGTTCATATGCCAAAGAAGAAAACAATTAATAATGGATGTGATTTTATACTGCTTGTACTGCTATAAGTGCATTGGTGGGGAGCAGAAGTAATGTATCAAAAGGTGAGCTCTGGGAAAATGAGTTAAATATGAATGGCTACATAGGTATTTTTGTTTAACTAAAACCAGCTAGCTAGGACAGGAGCTTTTTATCTGTTGCCAATAGAAAGTTTAGAAAATGATTGTATAATGAAATGTTTTAGTGACTGTACAGAATACAGTATTTAAACATCTTGATTTAGAACAAAAGAATTCTGTGATTTTATATTTATATGTCATAAGTTAGAACCTTCATGTTATTTTAGCATGTGTACAACAGACTTGCTAAGTAATTGAATTTGATTTCTGGGCACATAGCAAACCAATCTTCAAAATAGATTCTTTCTTCTCTGTCTTGGAAAGAAGTAACAGTTATTTTTGTTTTGGCCTTAATTCTTCAGATTAGTTTTCAAATTTCCATTGGAGACTTTAATTGTATATAACTGCACTATAACAATATTGTATTTTCTAGTTGCTCATCCCTTTGTGTGTATATATAGTGAGAGTTTAAATCTTGCCTCCTCCCCTTATTTCTGAGGCAGGGCCTCACTATGTAGTTCAGGCTGGCCTTGAATTCACTGTTCTATGGGGATCTTTCGGCTTCAGCCTCCTGAGTGCTGGGATCACAGGTGTGTGCCTCCACGCCCAACTTTAAATCTCTTCTAGAAATAATTTCTAGGATGATAATCAGAGGATTTGAAACATAGCCCTTTTTTGTTCATTACTTTTGGTTCTAATCTGTGTGTTTAGGTTCTCTCCTGTTTGTGGTCATTCCTTTTAGATTATGTGTTTCAGAAACTAATGCGTATAATATATTTTATATAGTCATTTGCTCCTTACTTATGATTGTCTTGATGTGATACCATGATAAATCCTTTTTGATGGCAAGAACTTTGATACTTCATTTTAGTCTTATTCTCACAATACATTATTCTTGTGATGGTAGCTAAGATGACTAACTTTTACTGTATTTAGGTGGAAGTGGATTAAAGAATATCACTTAATTTTTTTAAGAGAATCAATAGGAACATGATTCTGTTTTCTTTGATTACACAGTTAATTCTTCATCTATTATCCAAGATGGCATATATGTATCTTGGAAAGATCTTAAAACTTTAGACCTACATTTCAATCTTGGCTCATAATATCTCAATTAGTGATAATTCTAATAATGCTAGAATTAAATGGGTTAAAATGGGATAACATGTATGAAGTGCTTATCATAGACCAGATAGTAAATTGGCCTTTCTTAAATGTTTTCTATCCTACAGCTTCATGTGTAGAAAGAATTCCATTGAATTTTAGAGTTGTTATGGGTCACACTATAGAAATTTCTGTTGATCTTTCTATAGGAAATAGTTACTAAAGAATGAGTTTATCTTTCAAATTTTAATTAAAATTATCTCAGTAGTGTGGGAATACATTGTAGTTATTTCGCTGGACAATTTAGATAAAATACATTTCCTATTTATCTTCCCTAATACTAGTCTTTCCTCTAAGTTTCTACAGTTAATAGTTTGGATGTTCTTGACAAATCCATTTCTGTGTAGTTATTTCACTATATGTTTATTCAAATGTACAGTGTGTATGTTTGTGCACATACGTGGGAATAAATAAAAAATGCTACACTGTTTTGTGACCCGCATTTGCTCTGTAATACATTGTGGAAATTCATCTTTGGTGTTCTTTCCATCTGTTGTGTAATATTCTAAAATATGAGTATACTATAGCTTATCCAATCATTTTGTTAATTTCTAATTTTTGTTACAAACTACAGTATAATGCTTCCATGGGCTGGAAGTATATAGCTCACTAGTAAAGTGCTTGCCCAGCATGTGTGAGGCCCTGGGTCCGATCTCTAGTAACATTGGAAACAAAAAGAATATAATGCTTTTATCATTTTGTGCAGATATAGAAATAGTTTTCTAAGATATAGAATTGCTAGGTCATAGGATACAGGTATCTTAAATTTTATTATTTAAAAGTTTTTAAATTATTTTTTTGAAACAGGGTCTCGCATGCAGTTCAGGCTGGCCTTAAATGCACTATGTAGCCCAGGCTGGCCTCAAAGTCACGATGATCCTTCTGCCTCAGCCTCCCAAATACTGGGATTACAGGTGTATGTCACCATGCCTGGCCTCTTAAATTTAACAGATTTCATTTCTGATTATAAAAGTGCACATGAACCTTTAAAATAAAAAATATAGAAGAGTATAAAGACTGTTACCTAGGGCTATAGAAGAGTTTTAATGATGTCAGTAAAATTTCTATTTTAACATTGTGGTCAGAATTTCGAATATTAAATATATACAAAAATTTGTATCTAAAGTATGAATTCATGTATATATAAAATACAGGTTTTTGGGGCCGGGGATTTAGCTCAGTGGTTTTGCCGCCTGTTGCATAAGCCCAAGGACCCGAGTTCAATCCCCAGTATAAAAAACCCCCCCCAAAACCACAAGTTTTTGCTTTATGGTTTTAAACTCATTTTCAAATGTTGAGTTAGAAATAGAAAAATCGTGTGATTAAAAAAAGTCATGTGATAAAGCAACAACAAAAATGAGAATTAGGAGGAGACAAATTTAAAGGCTATAAAAATTATGGATACTGAAGACAAAAGGGACCTGAAAGTTATCCTTTCTAACTTTCTTATTTGTGGATCTGGAAGCTGAATTCTTTAGAATTAAGTGAGTCACTGAATGTAGTGCTTTCATGTAGGTTGTGACAGGGTTGAGTCTCCTCTCTGCTAGTCTATTCTTTCTGGAAAATGGATAAACAGGGTTTGTTACTGTTACTATTAAAGTACTCTATTATTACTGTAGTAATAGTTACTGTTGCTTGTTACTTATTTCTGTGCAGCAGATTTGCCCAAAACTTTATGGCAGAAAATTACCATTTTATTTTGCTCACAGTTGGGAGTTTGGGAAGTTCAGCTTGGTTATCCTGTTTGCACTGAGCTGTTGGCAGCAGCAGCAGTCATCTGAAGCCCAGATTTAGATGGAGGTCTTAGATGGCTTAATTAGGGGCCTGACAATTGATGCTGGCTGTCCACAGGGAGCTGTGATCCTGTT